TCTTCTAAACAGAGGCTTAACAACTTTTGTTGAGAGGACAGAATAGAGAGTAAAATTTTTTGCCAACTGCATGCAGATATACTGGCAGTCACACGGATTGATGTTATTAGTAGTAACCATTCATTTACCTATGAAATTGCTGGGTACTATTTTCTTTATAGCTAGTTCTTTCATCTTATTGACTGGAGTTCTTTATCAGCGAATGGAAGAGTAATAAAATTAGCTAAATTCAGTAGACAAATATGGAATGATTGCTCTTACTTATCAAGTTACTGTCCCCCCATCTCACATTCCTTGAAGTGCTTACCTTAATTTTGACAACATTGCTCGTAAGTGGTCTTAGAACTTCTAGGCCACAGTCAGATATGCGAGGCATTAGTTCTTCATCAAGCAAGATGTTGGCAGCTTTTATGTTGCAATGAGTAACTGGTGGTGAGAATGTAGAGTGCAAATAGCTGAAAACATTATCAACATAGAAACCATCAAAAAGCAGAAGGGAAAGATCATAGTAGGATTCATACTCCCTTGGCTTCATAGATAAAGCAGCCTTAAATATTAAGTCCATATCCCTATCTTCTTGATTGTAAAGTGTGTAACTAATCTTGTATGGCTTAATTTTTATCATGCAGATAATACTTTTAGATGCAGTAATCAAGATTAATTCACCTCATAGGGTGCTCAAGGGATAAAGGTGTACTACAGAGAATTTTGAAGAAAAGAAGTGCTTGTTACAGAAACCATATGAAATACTTACTCCAAAGCCCCAGCAATGGTAAGAGCAATACAAAGACGTAACCCCCAGGACAGTGGCTTGAAGTCTTCATTGTGCAAAGCATCGTCAGGAGACAAATTTCTCATATATTCATATACTACAAGATGCTGTCCATGTTCTACACAGTAGCCAATAAGTCTTCCAATGTTGGGGTGCCTTAGTTGTGATGCCATCTGAATTACATGCATAAATTGCTCTTCTTCATGGTAAGACAAAGATGACATGTGGATGTTCTTTACAGCAAAAACCTGGACGAAAAACAAAAGTAACAGAATTTCGGTTAAAAACAATGCTAAAACCTTGCATAGAATTTGATTGTCTCTTGAGCATTGTAGAAAAACCTATAGCAAATTACAGACTTACTTGACCATCAGGAAACTCAGCTTTGTAAACAGAATCAAGAGATCCCTCTCCAGGAAGTTTGTCTTCACTAAAGCTGTTCGTAGCTAATTGAAGCTCTGCCACAGTATACACTTTTGCATTCATTGCAAATTTGGGTTTTCTTGCGAGACATTTTCTTCTAGATGTTTTCTCAGTACCGGTAAGATGAACAGGGGGATTATGCCCTTGGACGAGATTGGATGGAGACTGCTGATATTGAAGAATGGTGGGCTCGCTGCTTGTGCAGTAGTAGAACAGTCTATAAGCATAGGAAGAAAGAGAGAATTTTTAGTTATAACTAATCAGAGTGACAAATGCACTTGATATCCACACACACTCAAGAATGCCAACCAGTGGAGTTCTCACCTATGGTTGTACTGATTGGGAGAGAATGCAGCGTTCTATTGCTGCTGTCCAAGCTTCTTAGTCTTTTTGCATGAGAACGGTTAATGTGGTTTGCAAAGAATAACGCTGCACAGATAGCCACAAGAGCCACACCAACAACCACACAAGCTATTCCAAGAGGGCTTAACTTGTTTTTTTCTTCACTAAATTCAGGGGAGGGGTAGTCCACGACAGCACTCTGCTGAGTTGTTGGTGGACTACTAATATTTTGCTCAAGCGGAACACTGTCCAAAGGGAAATTCCAGGGTGGATAAATGGCCCTTATGTCAAATCTATTACCCCAAAACCTGTTAAGAAGTAAAAGAGGAAAATAGTCATAGTATGATTTGTTAGTTTATGCAAGCTAACACCATTGAGATTTTCACTTGCCATAAATTTGGAATTAACTGAAACTGCTTCGGAATAATGCTACCAAAATGATTATCCTCAAGGTTCCTGAGAAAGATATGCATGAGTAAACAGTAAAATAAATATCAAACTTGGCCAAAAATTAGCCAAAAGATGCAGCAGAAACCAGTCCTCGTAAACCTACAGGTGAGCTAGTGGAAGCTCAGCCAAATATATCACTGATCCAGATATATCACTGATCCAGTGAAATTGTTATTTTGCAAGAACCTGTGCAGAGACCAAAGCAATATGTGGAAATCAAGATGCCTGTATAAAGGCTAAAAGAAACTGGGGCATGCAACAAGAAAATTTTTTATTAAGCTGAATATAACTCACAGTCGAGTAAGATTAGTCAGTGCTCCAAAAGATTTTGGTAGATCTCCAGTGAACTTATTGTTCGATAGATCTCTATCATAAACATGTTTAAGATTTTATATCAGTCATCGTTAGAGTTTTATGTCCATGAAAGGCATGGTGTGGAAACTAGTAACAAGTTGGAATGAAAACAAGATATCAGACAGGTGCAGCATTTTACAATTCAAGATCACAGTTCTGTAAATTGATAAGACACTGTGATTCACGTCATCATGGAAAATATTCAGTTCAGAAATTCGTACGAAAACTAGTTTCACTAAATGTAAGTTTCCAACAATCTAAACTAGAAGGTTTTGATGGAAATCATTAATAAGGGTTGCAAACCAGTTTCTGTAAACAAACCTAACATGAATATGAAGCCTGAAAAATGTTCAGAATTCTGATTTTGTTTCCCTCTTTTCAAAAGCCAGAATTTAATAGATAGCGACTTCCCTTTCACTTTCAAGTTTTAATGCAAAACAGAAAACAGTAGGAGGAAAAGAATACATTGTTTTCAGATTCCGTAAGCTAGTAAACACATCGCCAATAGGTCCAGACAAAAAGTGTGGCTTAGATTCCTTCAAAAAGAAGGAAATAATTATGAGTACATCATTGAATAACCAGAAGTAAAGCCAGCAAACTAGGTAGTCATGGTAAAAGCAACTTACAAATGCCTGAGATTTGTCAAGAAAGATAATGACTGGGGTATATTTTTGCTCAACTTGTTACATGCCATATTTCTGCATTCATTAAATGTCATGATAACAAAAACAGTGAAAGGGAGGACAAAAGACTGAAAATTTCGGGGGACAAAGTCTAAATTGAGATGAAATTCGTTGAATAATGAACCAGAAGTTATAGAGATCAGGCATCTTACACGAGTGACATTAGGCGGTAAGCCGTAAGGAATTTCAACTTCAATGTTATTGAAGCTTACATCCCTAAGCAGAGTAAAAACAGCTCAAAGAGTTTAATGCAGACTAGAGCTTGCCATACATTTTCTGAAGTACAAAATCCAATACAAAGTAAAGTTACTCACAGATGCCTTAGGTTACGGAGATTATCAAGTTGGCCGAGATACCCACTAAGGTTTGGTTGTGGTAGTTCCCTGCAAAAGGGTAGATAACAAGTTTATTTAGTCAGTAGGCACAAAAGAAAGTGACTAATTATTGATTATCCAAATAGAGTGGATGGTTTTATTTAAGCTGTAGGTTTTGCGCATTACAGTTGTGTCACGGAAGACCCAGAACATGCCACTCTTGTCCAGAATTCTCCACATGGGTTCCCACCATCCAATTTCCACCCTTTTAGCGAGGACGTGTACATCACGGCCTTGAACAGACTGTTTAGAGCTACGACTGACAAAAGGCAAAAGGCATATACAAGTAAATACAGATTCGCAATATATATTACTGGCATAAGATTATCACTAATATGGTAATTAAAGCTAAGCGTAATAATTGACCTGAAATGGCATAAGGTTTATGAATAACAATGTTAATGGTCCACAAAATCAAGTTAATTTGATCACATCCATAGCAAAAGAAAGGGGGAATAAAGAGTAATCCAATTATAGACAACTTCTTTGTCAATGTATTCTGGATCTGGACACAGAAAACCCCAAATCATCGGATTTTTTAATCTCTCAACTTTAATAAGAAAATGAATGATGATGCAGTCTAGCATTTATGAATTATGATCTCATAACTATGCCTTTTTTTTCATCCTTTTTCATGAGTTTTCCATGATCTTATAGTCATCAGATAAATCAATTACCCTAAACTAACATACCAGAATCTCAATACTTTTTTACCCTTCTTGTCCAAAAAGTATTAAGTAACTCAAAAACTTGACAGCGAGAAAATAAATAGTTATGTAAACTTTCTTAGATTTTCCTATATTTTCTTACGAACCGAACAGAACATATAATACGAAAGGAACTATCAATAAATATAAGAGGGAAAAAAGATTGGAACAAAATTACCATCAAGTTCATCAGTAGTAGCTTTAGACTCTAACAACAAAGTCGCCGAGAAAACAACTACAGTAAATACAAACACAGCAGCTCCTTATACATTTTCGTCGAGAATCTTAGCTTTTCCTGGAAACGCAGAAGAAAAACAGAAACGAAAAGGAAATGTTAGGTCACAATGAAAAATCAGATTACGAGAAGGTTTCTGAGAAATCTAAACGATAGAAAAAGAAACAAGCTTTAATAATGTTTGTAAACGGAGGCTAAGCTTGTCATATTTTGGCTTTCTTGGAAAGTAAACCAAGTTTCTTGCATTTTCCTTCGTTTTCTTGAAAACCAAACGGAGAATATCAGATTTCTTTATAGCATGATTCAAGTTTTTCAAAGAATCATCAATCTAACTGGTAACAAACTTTAAAAAAATTTAGAGAAAGTGAACTTAAGAAGTGTTTTGACTTGACATTGACTGAAGCAGAGCTCCAGAAAAGCGCTGAAGGACAGAATTTTCCAGAGAGAGAAAGAGAAGAAGAGGATCCACGTCCGCAAAAGCAGTTGAGGTCGTTTTGAAAAATGCCACGTGGGCAAGTTCATTTTGGATCCAAACTCGGCCCGAGTTTGAACAGTTTTAGAGGTTAAAAGAAGCCCATATTATTTGGGCCTGAAGCCCAGATACTGTTGTCAAGTTCTCTTCTTCAAAGGTTACTACTAAAATCTCTGTTTTCTGCTTCTGAAGGTGGAAATGGCAGAAGAATCAAGCAGAAATCAAGGCAGCAATGGAAAAGGAGAGGACGAAGAAGATTATATGGGTGATCTGTCTCAGTTTCTTTCTCCTGAACCTACTAACCCTTCTAAATTCTCTTCCAAAAAGGTTGGGTTTTTTTTTTCTTTTTTAATATATCGTTTAAAGTTTGCAATTAAACTCTCCGAAGTAATTGAGTTCTTCATTTATATGGAACTATGGCTTTATTTTTCTTGTTTATTACATTGATTTGGCGTAATTATAAAAAAAAAGTCGATTTTTTTTTATCAGAGGAAGAGATAGGGAAGAATTTGAACCAACAGTAAACTCTCTCTGGTCATGGGTACATTTTTACTTCATTATTTGATAGTATTTCAACAAATTCAAAGATTGTTCTAACGAACAAATAAAGAATGCCAGTTATTTCAATGGAATATAATTTTGTACCTATTTTCCCCCTTTTATAAACAAGCTTTTAGACATTTTGCATTTTCAGAAATGAAACTTTAAAGACCTTTCCTCCATTGCTAAAGTTTGTGGCAACTGTTATAGGTTTGTTACAGTTATTTTAATGTTTGCAGATTCCTAACACCAGTTCTTTGAGTTCCCAACCTTCCAAGAAAAAGTCAAAAAAGTTGAATTGGCAAGAACAGCGTAAACTTGATAGAGAAAGGAAGCAGCTAGAAGAGGATGAGCAAACGTTAGCAAAAATAGATGCTCCAATTCCACAATCTAACATAGGCTTCAAGTTGTTAAAGCAAATGGGTTACATCCCAGGCTCAGCACTTGGAAAGGAGGGCTTGGGTCGAGCTGAGCCGGTGGGGCTTGACATTCGGCGGTCACGAGCTGGGATTGGACGGGAGGACCCACTTAAGGTGAAGAGAAAAAAAGAGGAGATTGAGCTAGAGACAAAAAAGAAGAATGAGGAGGCTTTGATGGCAGAATTTGGTACTTGGCAAAAGTTACAATGGCGGAGTCGGAGAGTTGTGGTAAATTACAAGAAGGCAAAGGCAGCCCTTGATCAACTAGAGAATAAAGAAGTTGTAGCGCCCAAGAAGAATGAAGATGAAGATGAGGGGGGACAGGATGAAGAGGAAGAGGAAGAAGAAGTGACAGAAGGGGTATGTAGACTTACATACATATATATATTAGATATAAGTATCCGCACATACGTATAAAGTATATAGTTGTACAAACTTATTTTAGACCTACTTTTAGCGTGTTTTGTTAATGCCTATGTCATGTAGAATTGTATACTGGTATAGATTCGTCTCATTTCCTAATGTTATGTGTATCTAGGTTTAGTAGATTTCTGGTTGCCTTAAACCTTACAAATTTCATGTTGCATCAACATGAATACTCAAAGCAAAGTGAAGAGTCTGAATAACAAAGTTTAAAATTCTCTGCTTGACGAATAAATTCGGATTGAGCATCTTGTTGATGATTTTATGACTGCATAATTATTTCAGTGCATTCTACTAGTTAAAGTTCAAGCTAAGTTTGCTTTTATAGCTATGGCTTTTATGCATGAAACATTTTGTATTATAGTAGTTAAAATCAAGTCTCATTGTTGATGAAGTTAAAAAGATGTGTATGGTGTGTGTATATAATGCCCCAAAATCATGCTCAAAGTAAACACAAGTGACTGAACTGTTTTTTAGGCCTAAACTATAATAATCTGATATGTACGAATGGATAGGAATGTGGTTGTGAAGCCCATATATGGGTTCAAGTCACGACAAGTAACTTGAATTTAAGTTTTTGAGGGCCAATGGTTTAGGTCCAAAAGTAGCTGGGCTAGTGGTATCAGCTTGTAACATTAGAATTAGGATCAGAGTATGTGCCAGTCCAACATGGCATCGCATTACGCCCATTGTGAATTGGTCATTATTGCATTTGTGACGTTATCCCCCATTGGTTAAGAATACAATTATCAAAACTTATGTAAGTATTCAAATCTATCATTCATATAAGTTTCAACATTTTAGGGCCAGTGTTTTAGGTCCAAAAAGTAGCTTACCAGGTGGTGCATGGACCTGTGGTGTTAGAATAAAGTATTACAACATCAACAACAACACACTAAGCCTTATATCCCATACTTTGAGGTCGACTGTATGAAATACCAAATAAGAGAATTAGGTTAGGTTATAGTTTAAATCTTCTTGCGCCACTCATTTCTATCAACAACCACCTTTTCATCTAATTCTTTAACCATCATATTGTTTTTTTTTATTACTTGCATCCATATCTTTCGTGGTTTACCTCTAGATGTTATGATCTCTTCTAGATCTAGAGACTCAATTCTCCTAACCGGTGCACAGCTAGGCCTACATTTCACATGTCCAAATCATCGCAAACGGCCCTCTCTCATCTTCTCTTCAATTTCGACTACCCCTAATTGTTAGAATAAAGTATTGTTAATGAAAAATGTTAGAGAGAGTGAGAGAGAAATATGGTTGTATGAATAACCCACATGCATGCTCTTGTTAAGGAATGATGCTATAACACCTTTTACTTAGCACTAGTACTTGATCCAAGAAAAAGATGTCTTTTGATAGAATGGGCATCCAAGTCTTTAATTGCTACTATCAGATAGCTAGTACTCTTCTTGCACTGTTGTCTTCACCTGAAAGGACGACCAGTGTTTGTCAACTTAGCTTTCTTGGTGGTATTGACATTATGTCCATTGGGTGGGTGAATTCTAACATAAAGTTGATGTGTGTGAACTGAAGACCAACAAACCTGGCCAGTCTTACGACTCCAATTCTCATTATAAATCTCAGTTGACTGCCCACTTGGTCGAAGGTATGCTAGCACAAACTTCTTGTGCTAACAGTACTTTCAGCATTACCTTATTTTCCTCCTGTGGTCCTTGTGTATCTGAATGTAGCTAAGAGCCTAAGATATTTTTATTCTGAAAACTATTGTCTTCTTTTTTGTTGCATGACTGGGAGAGTTAATTTGGTGTGGATAATAGTCACACTATTTTGGATGCAGGATTTGCAAGATATATTGATGAAACTGAGAGATGAATATCAGTACTGTCCCTTCTGTGGATTTCAGGTAAGTTTGATTATGCTAACATTTTTACCACTTCAAAGCTTTGCACTTGGTTATTAATGTGTGACTCTAGAAATTTTGAGCTAAATCCAAATTCCAGAAATCTGAATTCCTTATTGTTTTAAGCTTGAATCTTCCATTTGTTTCAGTATGAATCGATGGAAGCACTTTTATCCAACTGCCCTGGAACAAACGAAGATGACCACTAGAGTGGAGTTAATTGATTTAGACGTTTAAATAAATTTTTACTTTTAGTGAATTCTGATGAGTGATGCCACTGTCGGTGAAATGTTTGAGCTTCCTGCTGATGGAATTCATGGAAGCAGGTGATTATCTGCACTTAGATTGTTTTTTTTTTTTTTTTAAGTCAACATGAGCCAAAAGCTGGAATATAGATCAGTTAAACAGAGACTAAAACAGAGGATAAAAAAATATAGTATGCTTTGTAAACATTCTTCAGGTTCTTTCGGGATGTAATTGTTAAAGCCATGAATCTAGGGTTTTTCAGCACACCACGAGTCACAAGAACTTAGGAGGTGTTTTTCTTTCATTTTTATGTAAGCTGAGTTCCAATTTTCAGGACATTGATGTTTGACACTAAATCAATACTGAAAAGCATCCAGTAGCAGCAGCACATGATGTTTTAATTTCCATACCAAAAATTTAACCATAACACCGAATGGGGCACTAAAATCCTCATGATACCATCTTCGTAATGGCACCCAAATTTTAGAAAAACAATTGTTGTCTTCATTGATATGCCACGTTCTATTATTCATGTCTGGAAAGTTTGAACTTCTGAATAGATCGGGTAGCCCATTTATTTCTGCCACCCATCATAACCAAGTATACCAACACATTGCTACTCAGGCAGCAGCAATGACATAAGAGGGCATCAGAACCATTAATCCTCATCAGTGACAACTAATTTGATAAGCCAAACAGATTATCTTAAGGCTTAATACCTTGCTAGATGGTTCGACATCTAATTAGTTTACTGGCGCGGGGAACACCTTGCTATTCAGCATCTTACAAACCTTGGGATGACACATAACAGGGATAGTTTGGGTTTATCCGACACTGACTTAAAACTTAAAATCAGATGCCTAAAATAACAGCATGTCATGTATGACATAAGATTGGGCATGAAAAGTGGCCAAAATGATGAGGAAAGAGAAACACAACTAACTTAGAGTGACCAGTGAATATCCTGCGTGGAGGTGTCGTATGCTCTAGACTGCTCAAGTTCCATATATTGCCTCCTGCTTTGCTGACAGAACTCCGGTCCGCCAGAAAACTGACTGTTAACAACAGGCTCTGAAATTTGACCCAAACCGAGTTGAGGGGCCATCTCATGAGAGCTACTACCAGAGTCATTGCCCTTGAAACCCCAAGAGGCATTTGAATAAGGATTCACAACTGCACCATGACGCGTTGCTGGTTGGGCCGCAGAATACCTTTCGGTATTTATCATGTTATTTACCCCAAGACTCGACGCCCGATTTCTAGAGCCCCATGGTTGATTTGACAGAAGAGAGAGAGCACAGCTTGAGTCACCAACTCCGGTGAAGCATTGTCCCGGAGTAATTTCAGTACTGGAGAAAACAGTCCCACCCGGTGAACCTTGCATGAAAAGGTCAGGTCGAGGATTCTCCGAGTTGTTTTGCCATGGATGTGGAAGTGACCTTGCCGCAGCTGTGTTTTGATTTCCAGGTAAGTACTCTGATGATCTTGCTGTTGGCCACACATCCCTTGAGGAATGCCTTGGGTAAGCTGTGAAATCCATGATAAAGCTTCCATCTCTACTGCTTTCTGTATCAAATGCAGACACCTTATTAAATACACAGTAGAACTGCAAGCCATTCCCTTGCAATTACTAAACAAAGTTTTAAACACCATTTCTAAGCACGATCTAACCAATAATAGATGAAGAGAGCCTGCTATAACGAGAGGGTAATAATGATCCTGGTGGTGGTTTCCTGCGTCGCTCATTGTGACCTGCTAGCCGTCTTCGGCAACTCCGTTTCCCTTGGTCAAATTCAGGAAGCTGATGAAATCTGGATAATAGTGGGCACACAATAGAGCATAATTCTTCTTTTGTGATAGAGGAGGACGAGTGAAAAATGATTCATATAAGCAATTACAAAACATGCCTTTTGCAGCAAATGGGATCAGAAATTCAAAAGTAACTAACTTTAACTGTCAATGTAGGATATACCACACACTCAAGCCTTGTCGAAGCACAAAGACAAAATCTATAAGAATAAGATACTTTCCATAATTCATACATACTATTCTTAGGCATACTTTTGCTTAAGACATTTTATTGAAAAAAAAAAAAAAGGAACCCTTAGACCTGGTTCTTTTTCCTGATGCATAAACAAGTCTGGAACCAGACAAGAAACTCAGATATTGCCATCACCTAAAATAGGTCCTTGGTACACGCTAAATCCCCAATCTGGAAGGCTACCAAGCATACTACAGTTCAGAATTCTCAAACATAACAAACTGAATTGAGAAAGAACTTGCCAATGAATATCATAATCTGCCAATTTACTATTATTGTCTGTTGTCACTTCTTTCAAAGTCAAGCCTACCTTAAAGACGCAAATCGTATGATTAAGATTCAAATTAAACAAGGAAACCATATTACAATATCTTACTAGGCACAGCCTGATTGCACCCTGAGAATTTTACAGCATAACTATAAGAAAAGAACAGATAGAGGTAAATACATCCTTAAAAAACTTTCAGCTTCTCCATATGCATGTTATTCCATCTAAAGATAGCAATGAAACATCTTTTTCACCTAGGAAATTGAAACAGCTTTTACATGACCTGGATTGCTTTTATCAGAGTGTATTACTTCCCACAGTCAAAAGCATGCATGCTTCAAACTCTATTTAGCACATTCACTCAAGTTCCATCACTAAAATTAACCCCAGTGACTATCTCAAGGAGTAAACCTCCTACACTTCATGATTTCTTAAGTTTTACTAGCATGGAAATAAAAGGGCTCTTGCATTCAACAAGGTATGAGCAGCATAAAATGGCAGAGGGAATGTCAAAATACCAAAAGTTGTCATGAGCAAAAAATTTAGGACCATTCGATTTTCTATTTCTTTTAGCTTTGAAGTGCATTATGTATGAGTCATTTATTTTGCAAACCATGCATTTTAGAATTATAAGCTTCGATAGACCGTGTAGTCAATTCATAATTTGTGAAAGTTTCAAAAATGATGAAAACAGCATGCATGCTTCAAACTCTATTTAGCACATTCACTCAAGTTCCATCACTAAAATTAACCCCAGTGACTATCTCAAGGAGTAAACCTCCTACACTTCATGATTTCTTAAGTTTTACTAGCATGGAAATAAAAGGGCTCTTGCATTCAACAAGGTATGAGCAGCATAAAATGGCAGAGGGAATGTCAAAATACCAAAAGTTGTCATGAGCAAAAAATTTAGGACCATTCGATTTTTTCTTTCTTTTAGCTTTGAAGTGCATTATGTATGAGTCATTTATTTTGCAAACCATGCATTTGAGAATTATAAGCTTCGTTAGACCGGTAGTCAATTCATAATTTGTGAACGTTTCAAAAATGATGAAAACAGCATTCTGGTTTTCTTTTTCAAAATAATGGAAATACAATACACCAATTGTGGATGCGATTGATCAACAACCACCACACCAAGCAAATGGCTCCAAAAAATCTGATTAAAAATTACAGAACATTAGGGAAGCAGCCAAATATATCCAGAGAGTAAAATACCACATACGTTGAAAGTAAAGGATCAAGACACAACATTCAATTATTTCTAACTTAATTACATGATTATTTATGTAGTCAACTGGATTATTTTTTATTAATCCCATGTTTCCTTATATGTGCAATTTTTATGAATTGCCAATGGATATATTAATCACATGAATCTCCTCCATACAATCATGTTTAATTCCGGTATAATAGACAATCTGCTTATCTCCAAACAAAGTATGATAAAGTGACAGATTCACCACTGCACAGGTAAAAAGGGTTTAGGAAACATGCAACTCAAATGGCTTTAAACAGGCCATTCAACAAGACCAGAAAACTAATTTCACTGAAGTTTCTGAATAATATATACAACACAGAATTGATATAAACATATGTCTGAAGAACACAAGATAAGGATCAGGGATTACTTTAAAGTTGATAACTTAGTGCATGCTTTAGCATATTACAAGAAGGTGTCCTAGGTGTATGAAAAATTAAGACATCGGTGCAACAGGCACACAATTACATTACAATTAAGCAACCTGAAAAACATAGGACATAATAACCAAAATCTACTTAGGACGGTTAACCAAGAAAGAAGTTTCTTAAGATCACTGATAACCTACTATCAGTTTTACTTCTCTACTTATTCAAAGTTGAGGTGCCAGGTTCAAGATGAAGTACAGTTAGAACTCAGTTGGTCTTAAATGCTCCAATACTGGTTACTAATGCTGTTTGGTTTAAGAAAATATCAGGTTTGCATACCGGATGCGCTGATGAGATTTTTAAGAAAATATGTGTAAGCCAAACCCATAAACCATAGAACCAGAAGTTATAAAAGAAAACTGAAGGATGGTTGAAATTTTATTTTGTGTAAATGCAATGCCATCTCAGCATAAAAATTTATTTAACAAAATAGTTCAGACATTGCCACCAGCTCAACATAGATTAAAAGGATCACTATAAAACTATGTAAGAGAAGACAAATTAAAAGCACCAAAAAATCTATGCCACCAATCCGTAGCTAAACACCAAAGCAAGCAAACACAACCAATGAAGTCCAGAACCTTCACTAGAATCGACTCCATCTACAAATCCAAACACAAAGAACCAAGAACATCAATCCAAAAAAGACAATAAGAAAGCAAAACCCCAACCCTTCACTTTATAAGAATTCAAAACCAAGAAACAAGATAATTAGAGTACTTAAGTCCGAATTAACTTAAATAGAACTCAATTAAGCCCATACACCCATTTAACTAACCTAATAAATCCAAAACCACCTAATCCACAACCATAAGAAACAGGCTCATAATTCTAGCCACCATATCCCTTCCCACTAAACAGAGAAATTTAAAAAGACTAATAAATAGAAGAAAGTAACAAACTTCCAGACATAATGCAGAAAGCCACCAAGACTGGTACAAGGGAAAAACAAATAAAATCAAAAGTTAACCCGATAAAACTCAAAACCATCAATCATAGAAACAGAACATTAACTAAAAAAAGAATCCAATTAACAAGCTCTTCATAAATTAGTACAAGGGAAAAGGCGGACGACAAAGACCAGTCAAAACAAAGCAAGACTAAAAAAGTTGGAACTGAAAAGGAGAATGAAGAGAGCAAAGTTAGAGGTATTAGGAGGGCTGACCTGCTACACTGTTGACAAAACCTTTGCTCAAGACCAGCAACAATGACTTTAGGTGACTTAGAGTGCATGCCACAAACCTTATGCCTCGAATAGTAAGCCTTAGCATCACTCAGATCCACTTTGCACCCTTCTACTTGACACCTTGGAGGCTGAGCCCCTTGCACCACTCCACCCACCCTGGCCTTCCTACCCGACCTGGATGAGCTTGAAGACCCCGGGCCTGACTTGGATGGAGTCCCCACGTTTGAACCACCAGCAGCAATAGCAGTAGCAGCAGCTGCTGGTGGTGCACCAGCTGCTGCATCCTCAAAGTATATTTTTTTACCAAACTTCAAGCCGTTGAGTGATTCAGTTGAAGAGTTGGTGGAAGAACCGCCCGACTCTCCCAAGGAGCCCGAACCCATTTCCATGAGCTCTGCCTAGTGCCCATTCATGGGGTTTTTGTCTTTGAGGGTCATGAAAATGTGCTCTTTCTTATCTCACCGTACACGCACCCAACAGACAAAGAAATTTTAATGCGTTTGTTTAGTCTAAACAGTAGTAAACAAACATAAATATAAAGGAGCGATAAACATTAATAAAGTAAAGTAAAGAGGAAAAAGAGATCCACAGAGAGAGACAGTGAAAGGTTAGACACCTGACACTGAAACTGGCCCATGCCAGCGAGGGATGTATAGTACACTCTGACTAAATTACTTTATTAGAAAAAATAAAGAAAGCTCAGAACAAACCAAAGTTGTCAGTCTTTACTCTTTTAGAAACAGAAAGAATCAGCAAAGAATGGTAAGTATTGTTTTTTGAAAATTATTAATTATATAAATATTATTAAAAAAACGTTTGGTTCCTAAAATTTTGAATTTGGAGAAAAAGTATACTCTTTCGAAGAAAATATGATTTTCATGATATTTTATTTTTAGATTTTTGTGTTTGATTAAAATAATCTGAAATTATTAAATTATGTATTTTTATCATAATTTTTAATAACATGACAAATATAATATTTTGTTGAAAAATAATTGATAATAATATGAGCGGCCAATATTTTATTAAATTATTTATGAATTTGTGTGAATATTACTTATAATATAATAATTTTTATATTTTATAAATATTTAATACAATACAAATATATAAATTATCAAAACTAAAATTTATTCATATCAACATATTTTATCATCTAATGGCGTTAAAACATTCATATGATCCCTCACAATTCAAACTCCTAGAACCAATATTTTGCCATAAATCTACAAAAATAGTAATAGAAATCTACATGTATATACGTTTACATAACGAGTTAATGTCCAATAATCTTCAACTGCTGTTTTAAAAAATATTTTATTTTCGAGTATTTTAAGGACACCTTTTTAAAAATATTACTATATTTTTATCCAATACATTTGAAATCATCAATAAAATTATCAGTTATTATATTTAATATAAGATTATTACTTTATTTCAAAAAAAAAGATTATTACTTTAAATAGAATATTAACTAGGAAACCCTTTGAAAAAATAAATTTTATTTATTTATTTATTTACTTATATGTTTGAAGTTTGGGAGTGAGATTAAGCTGGTCGGGTGCTCATTCAATTGATGCAGAGGCACATCATTTGGGTTGAAGAGTAATAGTCAACGGAAAAGTCAAGATTGATCAATTATTTTTGCATTAATAAAGTTGGAAAAAAAATTTTAATGAAAAATTTTAAGTGAATTTTGTAAATTTTTTTATTAAAAATGATAAAATAAAAATTAAAAGTGATACATTAAAAAATTTTTATTACATAGATTAAGTATAGGGATGGCATCGGGTCGGGTTCGGGGCAGGTTTTGCTCACCCCGAACCTGACCCGATTTTATGCTTTAGCAAACCCGACCCGACCCGAATTTTTCAATACCCGAATCTGATCCGATCAGTTAATCTGTAAATCGTATCCGATCTGATCCGACCCGAAATTAATAAAATATTATTTTTTAAAATATAAATTATTATTTTTAAAATATAAATATTTAAAAATATCATTAATATAAATATATATAATTAATTAATTAATAAAAAAATAATTTTTTTAATAATGTCGGGTCGGGTCGAATTTTAGACATACCTCGAACCCGACCCGACCTCGATTATTACCTAATTTTACCCGATCTGACCCCGACTTGAAATCCGAAATTCAAAAAAAAAATCCGACCCTATAAGGTCGGGTTGGGCCGAAACCCGTCGGGGATGGGTTTCATTGCCGTCCCTAATTAAGTATGTAAATTTTGAAAAAAATTTTAAAAAATGATTTTTTTAGAAATATATTTTTAATAATAATTTTGACAAATTTTGTATAATTAAATAAATATAAGACAAATTTAAATTATAAATAATATTTTTATAATATTTTTATATATTATTGATATTTTTATTTTCATAGAATTCTATTAATTTATTAATTTAAATTTTTTATTAAATTATTTTTAAAAAGCAACTTTAATAACTTTACCTAAAAAACTTTAATTAAGTTTTGTCCAATAAAATTTACTTGGTGGATGCCATCATTAAGAATGGTAAACAATAGTAAGTGGCAGAACCCATAAAGATTATGTACCTAACATAAAATTATTAGCATGTTAAGTTCACGTTTTGTTGGTGGTGTAAATGGTTTTTTCTTTTTCTTTTTGGTGGTAAAGTGTGATTTGTAAATGAGTTCATATCAAATTAAGATTAATTAATCAAAACTAATAACTATAAAAAATATTCTTAATTTGTAGAAATATGAAAATAGACTGCATTGAATCGATACAATCTATTTAAATATTAATTCATATATTAATAAACTATATTGATGAATAAATATAAAATTCAGTAATCCAAAAGTTAAAAGTGAAAGCTAAAAAACAAAATGCATGTGATATCAACCGCCCACACCCAGTCTCCCTTTGGATATAAAGTTCTTATTCTAATGTTTAAATTTTCAAATATCTATGCATTTTTTTATCTTGAACTTCTTTGAACCTATATCTTGAATTCTGTTTCTGAATACTCATTGAATGTTATTTTAATAGATAAAATTAGCCATAATTATAAAAAGGTACTACTATAATAAATCATTCGAAGGATACATTTATATAAATAAATATTAAATGTCACGATAGTATTAGATGTTAAATAATTTTCTTTGAATATTATAAATTAATTCAATTAATTTATATAATTATTTTTAAAAATAATATTTAATATATTTTAATTTTAATTTTTATTATTTATAATTTTTTATTTGTAAATTATTTTTTTGTATTTTTAATATTCTAGTTGTAATGATTTTTTGGGTACATTGTTGATTTGTAGTGATAAAACCTTGTTAAAATTAGTAAAATTTTACATTATGATGGTACTAAAGAAATCTTTTGAATGATAAGTTTGTTTGTCATTTAGAAAGGGGTGGTCAATCAACAATGAGTGCCCCCATCCCATCAACTCACCATCCAAATTTTTTTTTTTATTTTAAACTCCAATTCACAATTTCATTGGCATTTGGAGAATAAAATCGAGGGATTTTTGGAACCAAGGATGTGACATTTTTTGGGGATTAGACCGTCGGCAAATAAGACAATTAATATTAGTTTAATCAAAGATTTGGAGACCTGTTAGAAAAAAAAAAAAATTTCCTGCAACAGAGTTTGGGCAGCAATGGCAAAGTTCACTGTCCCTTTGACCAAAAAAACCAAGATCCCCGAGTTTCTTTTGTTTGTATTATTTTATAAGCTTGTACGCTGGTGTTTAAAATTATCAAATTTATATTTATATTTAATTATATTATTGGCAAAAGATAAAAAAATATATATTAAGAATACAATTATAAGTGTCTTTTTATTATCATAACTTACTTTTTTGGGTCAGATACTAGAATGAGTTTGGTATAGGTTTTTTTTTTTTCTTTTCCCAACTAATTAATTTAAATTTTATTTTATTTTTTATGTTAGAGAGACCATATAATCATATATTTGTATTTATTTTACGTTTAACAAATATAAAATATAAAATTTTTCAAATTACAATTTATATCAACATTTTAATTTTATAAAACATGTTGCTTTTAAATTTTTTATATCATATTTAAAATTATCAAATTTGATATTAAATTAATTTAATTTTTAGATGATTGGCTGACATAAGACTTGACTTTTATTAAGTATCTTAATTGAGAATGCTATTGATAATCATAGTATTTTTTTAGATGGGAAAAATATTCATTTTTTTTAAAATATATTAATTATTAAATTAAATGTTCAAACAATAAATCTTAATATCAATAAATCTTTAAAATGTTTTGAAGCATTTATATGTATTTTTCAAAATTAAATACATAAACATTTGTTGGTATTGAGAACTTTTAATTATAATTAAATATTATATTTATATAATTAATTGAATAATTAATTAATATAATATAATATAATTAAATAATCAAAATCATACGGAATGAAAATGAAACTTGAACTTTTATCCTCATGATCTAAAACTTCTTTCTTGTTATTTTTTTTTTCTTAACTAAAATTGGATTATGAAAAAAAAAAAAAGAGTTGGATTGATAATTGTACAATCCATTAATTACTATAATTACTATTAACTCTGAAATTCACCATTGGGAGCAGTTGGTTGAACAAATTTCACTGTCAATCCAGTGAAACTGGGTGTCATGCTCCCACACAGGAAGCACATTTTGACAGTTGGTGTATTCAAGGGTAACAGCGATCTTATTTCCTTCTTCATTGATTTTTCTTTTCTCCCCTTATCATTATTGGTAAGATTATTCACACCAACTACAAATTGCTTTGTCCGTACAAAATGGCAACTATAAAAGAACAAGAATTTCCAATATTCACATCCTTAACATTTTAGGCGGTACAATTTTAAAGTGACAAGAACAACCACTGATTAATTTATGTCCCAAGGTTCCTGCCAGTCTATGGACTGCAAGTCTATGCACAATAAATACTTTTGGTTGTCTTAGCTGGAGATTAATTTTTTTTTAATAAATTTTATGATTTTAAATACGATGAAAAATAAAAAATATGAATAATATAGTATAAAATTTTAGTAAAATTTTTATATGAATTTAATAAATAAAAAATATATTTTATATTTGATATGATAATTTTTATATTTTATACATATTTAATATAAAATAAATATGATATAATATATGAATTATCAAATTTATTTTTAGATAAATGATAATTTAAAAAGAAATCAAAAAATTTTATTAAAAAGCAAATATGAAAAATATTTATATTTTTTTGATAAAAAAGGAATGATAATTTTAAAAAAAAGGGTTAAGACATAAGGAAGAATTAAAATTAAAAAAAATTATGTGTCAAATATTCGAAGCTCAATTTTATACAAAATTATTACTATCTTTTTTATTAGCTATTTAGAATAATTTCTAAATTCGAAATATGCAATGATTTGGTCGTCAGCGTGTTGGACCGAAACTTCAATCATTTTTAGTCGAAAA